GGGAGCCAACTATCAAAAGTCAAACAATGGATTCCTTACCAATTCCTCCTTCCCTGTTCTCTGCTCCTTCTCAGTCTCTTACACTGGCTCTGCTTTCTGACAATTACTTGAAGTTCTCAGAGCTCATTCCATGCTCTTCTGTTCCTCTTCATTCACACTTGTACTTTGGGCAATTTTATCTAGGTCTACGAATATAATGACCATTTCAATCCTTATGATTACCTCCCACCATCACTCCTACACTCTAGTCTACTCTTCATACAGTTTAAACATACTTATAAGGTCATTAAACTCAAATCCCTCATATGACTTCCATAGCAAATAGACCTCTCAAAGACATACGAACTCTTGCATGACAGACCAATGCCTGAAACATCTCATATATAACAAATTTCTCACTCACTTAGTTGTGAGTTTGGAGGGTATCATATCAGGGTGTCATAATATGGTCTCCTTACCTGGACTTCCAACGCAGAAAAGACAGCCCCCCCATGTCCCCATGGCAGCTTGGGCAACTTCTATTCCCCCTCATGCCAGGCCCAATCCACACCACTGAAATCAGCACTACGTCCAAAAGCCATTGGATGGTAAGATTCGGCCAGAGCCTCAGCTGGGTAAACAGGTTGCTGGCTACTGACCTGGCTCATCCTTCTTGCCAGGTAGGATACCCTGGAACATCCTTTGCTGCAGGCTCCTGTCTGCCATGGGCACAGTGGGGCAGTGTAGCAACTCTCCCCAGGGAGGTCTTCAGAGGAGGACTCACTTCTCCCTGCTACCTTTGGAGGGGAGGCTCTTATTGTTTGGGTCTCAGGTTCATGCTGATGTGAAGGGGCCCATCCAGGGGAAGTATCCTGCACATACCTCACCCAGGTCCACAGCACCTGCTGTGGGCAAGTCATCGTCCCTCCAGTGTGCCTATCCTGGGAGGATAGATCTGGCTGAAGTCACCCACACTCTCTCTGGCCTCATCCTTCATGACCCTGTGTGTGCCAGAATCAGGTGCTAGGACCACAGAGTGTGTGTGCTGAGTCACAGAGGCATCTGGGATCCCTCCTTGTTCAATAACCAGCTGACCATGACCTCTGGGAGTTTCTGCTGGGACTGGTTTCTGGTTGGGATGATTAGGTTCAAGGGGAGGGCTCTACTCCAAGAGTGAGTGATGCCCAGGCGGTAACTTTTGTCGCTGTCCTTGTTCAGGTTCTCACCAGCAGTCTCTCCCTTATTTGATCTATCCCTCTAACTCTGATTTTCACTCTCTCTCTCTGTCTATCCTCAGCTCTTTGTCTTTCCCTATCCCCTCTGCCACTCTGTATCTACTATCTTGAGCTGTCTCCCCCTGTGTTTCTCTCTGATCCCCAAGCAGCTAGGCATGCACAGCTACCCTCAGCTTCTCAGAAAGGCGCCAGGAGCTGCAGATTCCTGGAGAGCACAGGTTAGAGATGCCAGGGGACTTTTGGCTGGTGGGACAGAGTGCCAGAGATGAGGGGGCAAGTGGGACGGTGTGGTTGAGTGGGAAGAGATGTGCACTAAGTTAGCCAGTAAGGGCAGAGAGAGTGAGGGGTTGGTTGTAGGAATATGAATGGGGAGAAGAGCCCTACTTGCCTCCAGGTTGCTGGAGGTGTGAAGGAAATGATCTGGAATGCCAAAGCCATTAAGAGGGTGCACTGCCTGGGGACTGGGAGGATGCCCCTGAATTTGGCCATGAAGAGTCATAAAAGTCTATATTGTTGGAACCTCTGTCTCAACACATGGCATATTGACATCATAAAGCTCAGAAGTGGAACAGAACGCCTGGTAGAAGGTTGGGACAGCTATGTGCTGTGTCTGTGCATGCCGCAGCCCGGAGGCAGCACTGGGGCTGTTGGACTAGATCTGTTCAGGTGAAGCCTTTGTGTGGTTGGCCTGGAGATTTTGGACTCTGTACAACATCTTCCCATAATACAGGATCACTTTTAGTATTAACCTAAGGAACTTGCCATATGCTCAGGCCCAAATTATTTATCTGCTGCAATCTACCATTTCTCAAGGTTTACCTCATGATAAATGAGCTAAAATCAAGCAATCTGTTCTTTGACAATGATCACGCACGTTCTAATAATGATATATAACCTCACAGACAATAATCTACTCGATGACATTGCAGAGTTTGACATCCTATCACATGTCTCTCTCCTTGGCAATATAATCTTGCAAAATACACATTCTTGTATAGACATGAGTTCATGAAATGAACCATTGTACATGCTGATATACTTTCTTGATTATGTAGAGTGCAATGATATAAACTTGATGTGGCAGCTATTGGTCATCCAGTGTATTCCTAAAATTCACAGAGATCTCAAATTTACTTATACAATGTGTAATAATTCTATTGTGTTGTTGGGCAGATCCTTAAGTTACCACTTTGTTCCATCCATAAGTACTGCTCTGCAGAATTAGGAACACAGATGGCAGGCTGGTGAGGTGAACAGGGCCTGAGGAATGGGGCAGTGGGTGAATTATCTGGTGGATATCCACTAGGGAGGTGATCTTTTGTGCAAGTCAATAGTGAGAAGGAGGCCAGTGCTATGAAGAGACTGGACGCCAAAGGAGTGGACAACTTGAGTTAAGTCGACACAAAATTTATTAACATTAATGTATACAATGAAAACAAGGAATCTGAAAGGAAGTGAAATGAAACCTAAACTTAAATCAACTATAATCAAAGAATTTGAACAAGAGAAAAGACTAGGGCTTGTGGTGGAGGAAGGTCAAAGTTCAAAGAGGGCATGTGGCTGGGAAAAGAGGTTTGGGAAAACTAGGGCTGAATTGTCAGCTGCCCCCAGAGGTGGACAGGCAAGGCAGGGGAAAGGGTCAGTGCCCTTGGAGTGGTGATGTCAGGTGACTAGGTTCTGGTAAGCCTGCAGGATCACACAGGGTCTTGCTGCCCTGGAGGGCATTTCTTAGCTTACTACCTTCTGTTGAAGCTGCGAGTTGTTGCCCAGGGCTGAGTTCCTACTGCAGGGGTGAATGAACTCAGCATCCTAGGCCTAAGGTGCTGCATCCTCGCCAATGAATAATACCCTCTGCTGCTGGACTCACAGTTCAGAATCATCTGAGAATTCTGCTAGATCCTCCTCAGGTATTTCCTCCTCCAGCTCAGATGCTGTGAACACCCAGCACTGGCGAACCCTAGGGATATCCCGGCCTTGGACCTTCTACCACAGGAGAAGATTAGGAAGGCTGACACCGGGATGAGAGTCTGAGCTAGGCGGTCAAGGATTCGGCGCAGAAATGACAGACAGACACACTTCAAGAGTGAAGATCTGAATGTAATGTGCTCAAAATCATCATACACTTTTATACCTTTTTTAAACAATGGATGATTTCATACAAGTTAATTTTTTCTCAGCATGAGATGTTTAGTCATACAAAAGACATTTACTTTATCATTCAGGTACATGTGATCGATGTACCCTGGCATGGAACGGTAAACAATCGCAAGGTTCTGATTACAGGAATCTATTTCTACACAATTATTTTCGATTATACAGAACAGCATTTCTTAGGTTCGTTTTTCTTGTTTCTTTCCCAATACCACTAATATTCAGAAAGTATTAATATTTAACTACTGTTACATTTTACTTTCAGTGATCATGAACAATGTTTTTTCTATGTAAGCATTTAATTTTTGTGGTTTTGACTCATGTGAGAAGCATTATGAATATTCCGAGACTACTTTTACCCCACACTATTTTCTTCATCATGCGTTTCCTGAAACTGATTTTACACATATATAGAAAAAGTAAAGTAGGTAAGAAAATAGTATAATTATCGACTGGTTGCAATGTTACTTCTTATGCAGGAACAATGACCAACTGGTTAATAGTTAAACCGCTTTGTTGGTGAATCCATCAGGCAGCAGCCATGTTCTCAGCCAAAAGAAGGGGTTTTTTACTGCGGGCTTAATGCCTGGATTAGGCTTACAGGCCTTTAGCCATTTGTCTGATTTGAACGCCAAAGATTATTATAATGAAGCCCCTCGGGGACTGCGCCTGTCTTAGGTCGTCAGGAGTCGCAGACATGCGGCTAGCCAGTGCCTTCTCTAGTCTGCCCCCGATCTAACCCATCATTGACTGTCCAGTCCAGCGCACAGGGGAAGGGGGTCTAATTCACTCTGATGTACTATGTGTCTGAGCGAAAGCCTCCCTCTTTCCAGTAAGGTAACTGGCGTTCAGTGGCAGGGGCTGCCGCAGCCAAACTGGTGTGATTTGCTCTGGAGTGGATGCCCAACTCTGGGGTCTAATCCCAAGAAGAAACCAATCCCATTTCAACAGAGTATGGTCAGCAGGTACTTGAGCAAGGAGAGAGCCTGGATACCTCATTGATCCAGCACATGTGCCCTGCCTGTGGGCCTGGAACTTGATTCTGGCCCATACGCGGTCAAGAAGGTTGTAGCCTTAGGACAGTGGGGTGAATTGAGACATTTTCTATTGCCCCAGGAGGACAAGCACACAGAAGGAAGATGACTTGCCCACAGCAGAGGCAGTAGATCTGGGTTGGTGTTTGAGGTGACCTCCTCTGGAAGGGGCTATTCAGGCCAACATTAGCCTGAGTCCCAAAGGACAACAGCCTCCCCTACAAGAAACACCAGGGAGGCATGGGCCCAGCCCTGTGCACCTCCTTAGGAGAGGCGCTACACTACCCTATTGGGCCAATGGGAAAAAGGGGCCTGGAGGCAAAGGAAGCTCCAAGGTCTTGTCCTTGGCAGGAGAACAACCAGCTGGTTCAGCAGCCGGAAACCTGCATCCCCTCCTGAGGCCCTGGCTACATGGAGCCATCCAAGGGCTTTGAGCAGTCGTGCTGGTGTCCGTGGTGTGGATGGACAGGCACAGAAAATGACCCAAGCAGCCAAAGGGGGAGGGGCTTCTCTGAAGGAGTCCCAGGTCAGGGAATCCCAGGGTATGACATCACTTTCCTGAGATGACACAGCACAATACTCAGAACCCAGTATCCCGGTAGCCAGGTTCTAAACACAAATCAACCCAGTTCATTTTCAGGGAGAACCAGGATCATCAAAGATGTTTTGCTGCATGCCGAGGTCTCCCGACCACAAGAAAAGGCGCAGGAACCTCTTTCAGACACTGGTGCAAGGCATCAGGAGACTACTCAGACTTGGCAGGCCAGGAGCCAGCGTTGCCCCAGCGGTAAGGAGGGGTTCACTGGCAGAGGACATACCAGGTCACCACTCTAATGCTCCCTAGCCCCCCTAGGACTCTGTGTGTGCTTGTGTGAGTGTGTAAGGGTGTGTGAGTGTGTGTGCTTGGGTTCCTATGTGAGTGATATCATGTATGTGCTCCTGGAGAAGGTTATGTTCCTCCCAGGTTGTGCGTCATGGTAACTCCCAGTGCTATGGGACCCAAAAGCCTCAATCACCCCCTGTTGTGCCAGCTACATGCCACCCTGCAGGTGTTTCTGTTTTCTCCTTGGAGGTACCCTCGAACCTGGAAGATGAAGAGTCCGAGGAAGAGGATTTCCCCTACTCGCCTCCCAGCCCATTGAGCACGATTCGTTGCAGGCCTAAAACCTGCGCTAACACCGGGCACAAGTTTCAGTGTATGGATCTTGTACACAAGTGCAGGGCAAAAGACCTGAAGGCAATGGAGGAATTTCCTGAGGTTGAGTGGCCCATGGTTGTGCCGAGACTCCTCTAGGAGGTGGAGGTCCATATCTCCCCTGGAAGGTGGCCACATGGGAAGGGTTTGGTCTAAGAGCACTCTAAAGTAGGACATCAAGCTGCTGGAATTAGGGAGCAAATGCCTGAGGGTTATTATCCAGGCCTGGTCTTTGTTCAGGGCTCTGGCATGTGGTCTGTTGGCAAAGGCATGGGGCAGTGTGGCTTGTGGCTGATGGCTTCTCCATTGATCTCCAGCTCCTTCTCCACCACTAAAGCTGGGCACCACTGCATCTCACTGGACAGGACAAGAGTCCTGCCAAGTATCCAATTCATCACAAGCAGACTTCACATGCCGAGACGGGACACCAGGATCATCTCTCTCCTATGATCATCCACAAAATACCCAGCATTTTGCAGGTCGCCAAGGAGACTCTGAGATCACTGTATCCCTGCACGGTGAGATTGCCACTAGCCAGCATCCTGCCAGATGTCCTGTGGCCATTGAGCTTATACCACCACTGCTGGGAGAGTCAGGCCCAGTCCCAAATCTTCCAGGACAAGTGGATAGTGTTGAGCTTAGCCCACACCTGAAGGGTGAGCCAAGCTCCAGCCGAACCCCAGAAGAGGATGATGGCGGAGATGGGATGCTCACTTAGCCCCCCGGTGGGAGAAGGTCCAAGGCTGGAATGTCCCTAGGGTTCGCCAGTGCTGGGTGGTCACAGCATCTGAGCTGGAGGAGGAAATACCTGAGCAGGATCTAGAAGAATTCTCAGATGATTCTGAACTGTGAGGCCAGCTGCAGAGGGTATTATTCATTGGCGAGGATGCAGCACCTTAGGCTGAGGGTGATGAGTTCATTCACCCCTGCAGTAGGAACTCAGCCCTGGGCAACAACTCGCAGCTTCAACAGAAGGTAGTAAGCTAAGAAATGCCCTCATGGGCAGCAAGACCCTGTGTGATCCTGCCGGCTGAACATAACCTAGTCAAATGATATCAGCACTCAAAGGGAACTGACCCTTTTCCCTGCCTAGCCTGTCCACATCTGGAGGTAGCTGACAATTCAGCCCTAGTTTTCCCAAGCTTCTTTTCCCAGCCACATGCCCTCTTTGAACTTTGACCTCTCCTCCACCACAAGCCCTGTAATTTTCTCTTGTTCGAAATCTTTGCTATAGTAGATTTAAATTTAGGTTTCGTTTCACTTCCTTTCAGATTCATTGTTTTCATTGTATATATTAATGTTAATAAATTTGTGTTGACTTAACTCAAGTTGTGCACTCCTTTGGCGTCCAGTCTCTTCACAACAGTGGCCTCCTTCTCACTATTGACTTGCAGAAAAGATCACCTCCCGAGTGGATATCCACCAGATAATTCACCCACTGCCCAGGTCCTCAGGCCTTGTTCACCTCACCAGCCTGCCATCTGTGTTCCTACTGCAGAGCAGTACTTAGGAATGGAACCTAGTGTTGACTTTAGGATCTGCCCAACTACACAATAGATTTAGTACACATTGGATAAGTAAATTTGAGATCTCTGTGAATTTTAGGAATACACTGGATGAGCAATAGCTGCCACATCAACTTTATATCATTGCACTCTGTATAATCTAGAAAGTATATCTGCATGTACAATGGTCCATTTCATGAACTCATGTCTATACAGAATGCGTATTTTGCAAGATTATATTACCAAGGAGAGAGACATGTGATAGGATGTCAAACTCTGCAATTTCATCAATTATTTATTGTCTGTGAGGTTATATATCATTAGAACTTGTGTGATTATTGTCAAAGAAGAGATTGCTTGATTTATCTTATGCATCATGATGTAAACCTTGGAAATGGTAGATTGCAGCAGATAGTTAAGTAATTATGGCCTGCACAATGGCAACTTCCTTAGGTTAATACTCAAAAGCCATGGCACATCTGCACCACAGATCTGGTGCAGAGTCCAAAATCTTCAGGCCCAACCACACAGAGGCTCCTCCTAAACTGATCTAGTTCAGCCGCCCTCAGGACTGCCTCTGGGCTGCAGAATGCATAGCCACAGCACACAGCAATCCGGGAGCTCCCATCAGGCATTCTGTTCAGCTTCTGGCCTTACCATATCTGGACACCATGTGTTGAGACAGAGGATCCATGAGTACAAACTTTGATGACTCTTCCTGACCCAATTCAGGGGGCTACTCCCAGTGCCCAGGCGGTGCACCCTCTTGATGGGTTCTGGCACTCCAGTTCATTTCCCTCAGCCCTCCACCACCCTGGAGACAGGCTGGACTACTCTCCTCAATTCCGGATTCAACAACAAACACCACCCATCTGCTGCATCACTCTCTCTGCCCTTACTGGGTAACCTAGTGCACATGTCTTTCCACTCAACCACACTCTCCCTCCAGCCTGCTCCTCTCCCACACTCCACACCACCAGCCAAGCATCGATGGCATCTCTGACCTGTTTTCACCATGACTCTGCAGGTCCCACGACCTGTGTGAGCAGATGAGGGATGCTGAGCATGCATAGCCCTGCAAGGGATCAGAGAGAGGAACACAGGGGGAGACCTCAGGGCAAGAGGGGTACATACAGAGAGGCAGAGGGAGACAGGTGCAGAAAGAGAGGGAGACAGTGAATCAGAGTTAGACAGCAAAAGGCAGAGAAGGTTGGTGAGGACTGAGTACAGGGAAGGTTTGAAAATGGCCGACATGTTGTCATTTGCTCTGGAGTGATGCCCTACTCTGGGGTCTAATCCCAATAAGAAACCAATCCCAGTTGCACAGAGTATGGTCAGCAGGTACTTGAGCAAGGAGGGAGCCTGGACACAGAAGTGGTCCAGCACACGTGCCCTGTCTGTGGGCCTGTAACTTGATTCTGGCCCATATGGGGTCAAGAAGGTCGTGGCCTTAGGACAGTGGGGTCAGTTGAGACATTTTCTATTCCCCCAGGAGGACAAGCACACAGAAGGAAGATGACTTGCCCACAGCAGAGGCAGTAGATCTGGGTTGGTGTGTTGAGGTGACCTCCTCTGGAATGGGCCTATCCAGGCCAACATTAGCTCGAGTCCCAAAGGACAACAGCCTCCCGTACAAGAAACAGCAGGGAGGCGTTGGCCCAGCCCTGTGCACCTCCTTAGGAGAGGTGCTACACTGCCTTATTGTGCCAATGGGAAAAAGGGGCCTGGAGGCAAAGGAAGCTCCAAGGTCTTGTCCTTGGCAGGAGAACAACCAGCCGGTTCAGCAGCCAGAAACCTGCATCCCCTCCTGAGGCCCTGGATACATGGAGCCATCCAAGGGCTTTGGGAGGTTGTGCTCGGGTCCCTGGTGTGGATGGACAGGCACAGGAAGGGACCTAAGCAGCCAAAGGGGGGAGGGATTCTCTGAAGGAGTCCCAGGTAAGGGAATCACAGGTTGTGACATCACTTTCCTGATTGACACAGCATAAAACTCAGAACCTAGTGCCCCGATAGCCATGTTCTAAACACAAATTGACCCAGTTCACTTTCAGGGAGAACCAGGAGCGGCAAAGATGTTTTGCTGCATGCCAAGGTCTCCCGACAAAAGGAAAAGGCCCAGGAACCTCTTTCAGACACTGGTGCAAGGCATCAGGAGACTACTCAGATTTGGCAGGCCAGGAGCCAGCGTTGTCCCAGCGGTAAGCAGGGTTCACTGGGAGAGGACATACCAGGTCACCACTCTAATGCTCCCTGGCCCCCCTAGGACTCTTTGTGTGTTTGTGTGAGTGTGTGAGAGTGTGTGAGTGTGTGTGCTCGGGATCCTATGTGAGTGACATCATGTATGTGCTCCTGGAGAAGGGTATGTTCCTCCCAGGTTGTGGGTCATGGTAACTCCCAGTGCTATGGTACCCAAAAGCCACAATCGCCCCCTCTTGTCCCACTTACATGCCGCCCTGCAGGTGTTTCTGTTTTCTCCTTGGAGGTACCCTGGAACCTGGAAGATGAAGAGTCCGAGGAAGAGGATTTCCCCTACTCGCCTCCCAGCCCACCTAGCAGGATCCGTTGCAGGCCCAAAACCTGCGCTAAAACCAGGCGAAAGTATCAGTGTATGCTGGTTGTACACAAGTGCAGGGCAAAAGACCTGAAGCCAATGGAGGAATTTCCTGAGGGTGAGTGGCCCATGGTCGTGCCGAGACTCCTCTCGGAGGTGGAGGTCCATATCTCCCCTGGGAGGTGGCCACGCAGGAATCGTTTGGTCTAGGAGCAGTCTAAACTAGGACATCTAGCTGCCGGACTTAGGGGGCAAATGCCTGAGGATTACTATCCCGGACTGGACTTTGTTCAGGGCTCTGGCATGTAGTCTGTTGGCAAAGGCTCCTTCTCAACCACTAAACCTGGAAAATCAAGAGTCTGAGGAAGAGGATTTCCCTTACTCGCCTCCCAGCCCACAGAGCAGGATCCGTTGCAAACCTAAAACCTGTGCTAACACCAGGCACAAGTTTCAGTGTATGGATCTTGTGCACAAGTGTAGGGCAGCGGGTGAATTTTCCTGTGGATATCCACTAGGGAAGTGATCTTTTCTGCAAGTCAATAGTGAGAAGGAGGCCAGTGCTGTAAACAGACTGGACGGCAAAGAAGTGAATAACTTGAGTTAAGTCAACACAAAATTTATTATCATTAACATAAACAATGAAAACAAGGAATCTGAAAGGAAGTGAAATGAAACCTAAACTTAAATCAACTATAATCAAAGAATTTGAACAAGAGAAAAGTCCAGGGCTTGTGGTAGAGGAGAGGTCAAAGTTCAAAGAGGGCATGTGGCTGGGATAAGAGGTTTGGGAAAACCAGTGCTGAATTGTCAGCTATAGGTGGACAGGCTAAGCAGGGGAAAGGGTCAGTGCCCTTGGAGGGGTGACCAGGTTCTGGTCAGGCTGCAGGATCACACAGGGTCTTGCTCTCCAAGAGGGCATTTCTCAGCTTACTACCTTCCGTTGAAGCTGCGAGTTGTTGCCCAGGGCTGAGTTCCTACTGCAGGGGTGAATGAACTCTGCACCCTAACGTGCTGCAACCTCACAATGAATAATACCCTCTGCTGCTGGCCTCACAGTTCTATATCATCTGAGAATTCTGCTAGATCCTCCTCATGTATTTCCTCCTCCAGCTCAGATGCTGTGACCACACAGCACTGGCGAACCCTAGGGACATCCCGGCCTTGGAACTTCTCCCACAGGGGGGCTACTTTGAGCATCCCATCTCCGCCATCATCCCCTGCTGGGGTTGGGCTGGAGCTTGGCTCACCCTTCAGGTGTGGGCTTAGCTCAACACCATCAACTTGTCCTGGAAGATTTGGGAATGGGCCTGACTCTCCCAGCAGTGGTGGTAGAAGACAATGGCCAGAGGACATCTGGCAGGATGCTGGCTAGTGGCAATCTCACCGTGCAGTGATACAGTGATCTCAGAGTCTCTTTGGCTACCTGCAAAATGCTGGGTATTTTATGGATGATCATAGGCGAGTGATGATCCTAGTGTGCATCTAGGCATGTGAAGTCTGCTTGTGATGAATTGGATACTTGGCATGACTCTTGTCCTGTCCAGTGAGATGCAGTGGTGCCCAGCTTTAGTGGTGGAGAAGGAGCTGGAGATCAATGGAGAAGCCATCAGCCACAAGCCATACTGCCCCATGCCTTTGCCAACAGACCACATGCCAGAGCCCTGAACAAAGACCAGTCCGGGATAGTAACTCTCAGGCATTTGCCCCCTAAGTCCAGCAGCTTGATGTCCTAGTTTAGACTGCTCCTAGAC